ACCACCGCAAACCCGGACCCAATAAGGAACACCGCCTGAGTCCCATGGAACTCGTCGTCGCTCCAGCTGGCTAGGATCGGCTTGAATACCTGCGTTCCGATAGCCGCGCCGGCCTTGCTCCACGCCGCGGCAAATCCGACCCCGTGTCCGCGCAACGCCGTGGGGAAACTCTCGCTTGCAGTCAGCACAATCGTGGAACCGGGGCCGACCTCCCCGAGCGTCAGGAAGACGCCATACAACACAATAAAGAGGGGAAGGGAGCTCTCGATGTACTTCAGTGCGCCGCCGAGGATGAAACCCAGGATCGCTTGGAGCAGGAAGCCCAGCGCCATCGTCTTGCGGCGACCAATTCTGTCCGACAGGAATCCGCCGATGAAGGCGCCCGGGATGTAGAAGCAGTTGATCAGCGTTCCCCAGGCCATGGTCAGGGCCAAGGACGAGCTTGGGTTCACGCGACCGACGATCGTGGACGAAAAGAGCCCGAAGGGGTAGGAGATGTAATTGTACCTGTTGTGGGTGTCCGCCGTCAGCATGTGTATGGGTGAAGAAAGTTAGGGCTGCTCACAAGAACCACGATCCACACACCCCCAGCAACGGTCGCCAGTATTTTCTTAATGCAAGTGTATAAGGTATCCTTTGCTCAACCATGGCACTTTTCTTGTACGCCGAGCTGACCGCCATGCGATAGCGGAACCAGAAGATTGACAGCGGCGGGATAGCACCCAGCGCAAGAGAAATGCGCCACACCGCGTTGTAGTGGCGGACCTGCTGATGGAAACACAGCAACAACAGCAAGGGAACCAGGGCGCCGAATGCGAAGCCCAACGACGCGGAGAGATCGGCGATCATGGCGAATATGAAGCCGCGCTTGCTTCGAACGGCGGATTCCTCGTCTGTTGCTTCGGCTGCGCCGGCGCCGGCTACGGGGTATTCCCTACCGCCTCATATTCCACATTAGGGTTACCTCGCAGTAGATATGCTTGCAAGCAAGGAATACTCACCCGCCAGCACCCACCCCCGCAACCCCCCGGGCAATGATCAACATCCACAGCATCCCGTCTTGACTCGTTCCACTGGCCCCAGCACTCAATGCGATGCCCACGACCAGAATGGCAGTTGTCAGGACAGCGCCGGTCTTGCGGCCCAGCTTGTCGGAGATGTAGCCAAACGACAGCATCCCGATGATCATCCCGACCATGAAAGCATTCGACAACCGCGACGCGACAGCCGTGGTCAGAGCGTTGGGATAGATAACCCCCATGATGAGTTCGAGGTTGCCGATGATGGATGCGTTGAACCCATCGGAGCCGATGGCGAGCCCGGAAAAGATCACCATCAGGACAACCGATAGTTTCGAGGCTTTGGGGTGCAGAGCCACCTCTGACGTGGCCGGGACGTCATGGATGCTTGCTCGAACCTTCTCTTCCTTTGCGTCGTGCTTCGATTGGGACGGCGAAGGGCGAACCTCTTCGGATACCGTAGGTGTGTCCATGGCCATCGGTTGGGGTTCAACAGCCGTAGGAGCGCCACGGTAGGTCTGTATTTATGCCTCCATCCCGACCGTGCCGTGCCTTGGCCGACGCCAGATAAGAAAGACGGTTTGGGAAGGGCTGCATGATGGTCGAGGATTGTGACCAACCACTCTGCGCGCTGATAAGACTCGAGGCTATAGGACGGGATCTTCCCCGCACGAGAGGACGCGGCCAGAGGTGACGGCATTAACTAACTTGGCGAGCGTGAGGGGAAGTTGCTATGATAAGATACGCTGAGGAGATAAGAGGCACTACATTGGAGAGTAGAGAACATGCCACCTTTGCCGATAGGTCTCTGGCTCGGATTGAGTCCACGGTAGTCCATCTCATTTGATATCAACTCAGTAACCATATATCAGGCCGAGACAATACACAGTTCTTGACTTCTTCATAGGTCTCCGCGGATTTTAAATGGTGGACACCCGTCGATGGAATTTTAAATATCTATGCAAAACACAACAAAGGTTCCATATACATGGTGCGATGCCATTAGCTGTTCAACTAGGTGCGGGGAGCCCAGTCGTGATTGTTTGATAGCAAACATCGCGTGTATCAGACCGGCGTGACAACATACGTCTCCCCAACCTTCGTCCTGACCGGCCCCGTGTAACCCTGCCCGTTAATCGCAACCGAGGAGCCATTCATACACCGCAGCTGCAACTCCCCACCAGCACGCGAGGTGATATTCGCATGAACCAACTTCCCCGCCTCCCACTGGATGTCAACTATAAAGTTGCCCCTGGCCACCAACCCCGTCACTGATCCCTTGGGTAAGGCAGATGGCAGAGCCGGCAGCAGATGGGTGATCCCGGCATGGCTCTGCAATAGCATCTCCGTGACGCCACTCACGAACCCAAAGTTGCCGTCAATCTGGAACTGGTACGGGCCGACCGGGCCTTCATTGGTGTTGTACAAGTTATAGGGAGTGGGGTATACCGCAAACCATTGGGTCAATTGCTCCCACGCGTCATCACCGCGAAATACCCGGGCATACTGATTGATCAGCCAGGTCCGAGACCAGCCGGTTGTCCCAGACCCGTGGGAAACACGTCGGTCCAGGAGCACTTCGGCCGCAGTCCCAAGGGTGCTGTTCAACAGCGGACTGAATTGCCGACCGGGCATCAGAGCCCACAGGGGTGAAAGGTGTTTCTGCCCGATGGCCTTTTCTTTGTACTCCTTGCGCCACTCCAGGATCTGTCCTAACGAGCCGATCAACGGGGGCTGGATGAGGGGCAGAAATGCTTTGGCCGTCTGCACGGCTGTGCCGTTTATCCCTAAGATCGAGGCTGCATCTAAAAGGCTTCGAAACACCTCGGTCATCAGCTGGTTGTCCATGGCGGGGGCTACGTCGACGCTCTGCGCCGCGCCAGCGACAGTCTCATCAGCAGGAACATAGAAGTTATTCTCCGGCGATAGAGATGGCCCCGTGACTTGGTAGCCCTGGTAGGGGAAGGTGTAGCACTCGTAGAACGCAGCAACTTTAACGAAGAACGGATATGCCACTTCACGGAGGAATGTTGTATCCCCGGTGAAGCGATAGTGATCCATCATGTGCCACGCCAGCCACGCAGCCCCCATCGGCCACATGGTGGAAGCAGTGTAGTTGTCCGTTGGCGCAGGGTCTCCCCACAGATCCAAGTTGTGATGGAACACGGTGCCAGGACAGCCATACATGCGCTTGGCCAATGACTGTCCACGAACATCGGCAAATGCCATCAAATCAAACAAGGGTTCCTGCGTCTCGATCAAGTTAGTTGGCCCGGCGGGCCAATAGTTCATCTCAATGTTGATGTTGATGGTGTATTTGCCTCCCCACGGAGCCGATGTGGAGTTATTCCAGATACCCTGTAGGTTCGCTGGCAGCGATGTCACATTGTCTGTATTGCGCGATGAGGCGACGAGTAGGTGTCGACCAAAGTTGAACACTAGCACAGTGAGCTGTACGTCGGCAGATGTATTGCGGGCAATGCTGATGCGCTGGTCGGTTGGAAGACTCGCCCACCTATTTGGCGACGTGCCTAAGTCAAGTGTCACCCGGTCCAAGAGTGATTTGGTATCAGCAACAGCTGCTGCTCTCACAGCGTCATACCCAAGCGTGTAAGCATTGTTTATCTTCTTGCGCATCTCCTTCTCTCGCGCATCTCGTGATGAATATCTGAAGTTGGTTTCCACGTCGAAATACATCTCCAGGGTTGTTGCATTGTGTATGAGTAGAGAGGAACCGGATACGTTGAACATTCCTGCGAATGTTAGCAACGGTATGTGCCTGTCAGAATGAACGTACCTGTATCGGATTTGAAGCGAGCTTCGCCCGTCCATTCAATTGGATCCTCACTCTCGGATTGTCCACTGGTGCCGATTAGAGTAAGGGTATTGTTGCCTTTGGCCACATTGGCCGAAAGCGACTTGATATCCTTGATCCGGGTCATTGTGGCGTTGATGTTCAGTGCTCCCCGTCGGCTGGCCTTAAATCGCGCCACCAGAACACCTTGCGGGTAGCTGGCGACATACTCTCGGCTGCGAAGTCAGGTATCAGTGACAAGTTGCATGAAGCACCTCTTGTTGAAAAGCTTACGTATAGTTCACCCCGTTTATACTGTAGCTTACCCCGGCAATTCCCTCCTTCGTGTCAAGCCAACGGACATAATTTGACATGTCCACATCAGGATGGCCGAAGTCCAGATTGACGTTGCCAAAGTAGCTGTAAGCCCGCGGCGAGTTGTTGATTGGGATCATCTGGGCCATGGTCAAGACGTTACCCTCAGTGATGTTGCCATTCAGCAGAAGCTCCCGAACAACAGGCTCGATTTCCGTCGCATTGAGTGGTGTCCGATCCTGAAAGGGCCCCGTCCAGATGGAGTTCTCATTGATGCCGACGACCTCTGCTCCGCCACCATAGATTGTCGCTCCGATTCGACCATTGCCAATCGGCATCCCTTCTTCCAGGGTAGGCCATCGGCCGGGTTGGGTGAACCACATGTATCTGCTGCCATCGAGGGCAGCATTCACATGAGCGCATGCAAGCGAGAGAAGTAGGAGTGCTCGACAGGACATGCTGTGGACTCTTGTCGATCCAAATTGAGGTCAAAGCGCTGCGGCCATCTCATCGGTTTTCGAAACATCCAATCAATCATTTATATACCATCAAGATGAGCCCGTATTCTCGCAGCTACCCGGAGAGAATGTCGAGTTGCGGTAGGTGGACTAACGTAACCCCGCAGTACCTCTGGAGATTAGACACACTGAAACATCTGCAGGGTTCGTGCAATTTAGGCTGAATCGGGACAACCCCATCCGGTGCGATCGGCGGGGGCGGCGTGTCCTGATGCACGGATATGCTGTCCCTGCAGCACTTGCCCCGATCTATGTGCTACCACACCAGGCCCACGTCTGCTCATGCTGTGTTGATTGTGGGCTCAGGGATGTTGACCCTGTCACATGAGTCTGGTCTGAGGGGCTGCAGCTCGCTCAGAAAAGCATGAACGGGCCGATCTCGCTCTCATTCTCCCGAGCATACCTGATCCATTGCCCCATACCCCAGTAGTCCGGTCGAGCCCAGAGGGCCCGTAAGAACTGCAGTACAGTGTGGTTACACCATGCGCCCGTCGCGGCGATTAGTTCCACGAAGGCTCTCTGGATTGTGCTTTGTCTGTGCTCATCGCCCCAACATTCGGTACCCATAATGAATAGGGGGAAGAACAGTACATGCGAGAACACATGCGAGGTGTCTTTCACGAGGCCTTGAAGGTCTTGGAACAGGATGGACAGGTGGAGAGTGATGGCCCACTCTGCATGTCCGCGAGGCGCCAGGGCTTGTTCAACATAAATTAGAATAGCATAGTAATGAGCTTTCACCATAGCATTGAAGTGGATGCGGGTGGCCTCATCATGCCGCGAAGCAGAAGCCGCAGTGACACAGACCTGCCTGTAAGCTTGTTCCACTCTTTCTCGCCACATGCCCATCTCGTGCTCGTCAAGCCCGTACCCCTCGCCATGGAGCTCATAGTTGGAACGCTCGACTGCGGTAATTTCACTAATCAGAATCGTAAAGGCCCAGAGACGGTCTTCGGGCCTTGACTGCAGGGGGCATTTGGTTCTGGGTTGCTGCGTCGAGAAAGACACGAGATTCTTGAAGATCTCGAAATCTTCCACCTCTTTGACAACGAATCTCGACAAAGCATCGTTGGACTGCCGGCCACTGTTTCGCAACTGGTTCCATTCTATCATCGCACGGCACGCTTGCAGGTGCACATTCCAATTTGTGGACTCTGGGATTAACATCTCTTCGTAGCAGAGGGCGACTGCCGTGGCAAGGATGATTGTGAGGGCGGAACACCCGCCGCCTCCGGCCACGGTATCCTTCCGAGGATGGTGACTGACTTCGCGGGTGATGGCTTGATTCAGAGCCTGGAGAGTGCGGTTTCTTAGAACAGGGTAGGCTCTCTGTGCCACAAGTGCCTGTACGCTGCCAGGGGCGGATGTAACTGACAGGTGAGCGGCTGCAAGGCTAAGGAGCGACAGTCGGAGAGAGGCGGAGCGACAGGTAAGTGGAAGAATGGCCTTCCTCCACGGGTTATCCACACTATCCAGCCAAGTCAAACGAGGAACCACGATAACGTGAAAGTAGTGGAGCATTTTGTCGCAGAAGGCCGTCGACGAGTGGTGTTGTACGAGAATATGATCACCGGTTGGGGACGGAGCGCGCCAGAGAGCATCTTGCGATGACTTCGCATCGGCCTCGGGGCGGATTGCGACCGCCAGCTCATCTGATAACCTTTCCGCTGTTGTGCTGGTGTCTTTGATGGAAGAACTAGGCTTATGGGTAATCGCCTGGGTCCATTTCAGCTGAAAGGCGTCGAAGCCGGGACAGGAGAGATTGCGGGAGGTGCATTTGTGACAGTGAGGGAGAGTGCGGTCGCATCGGATGCGCCGCTTGGTGCAAAGGCGACAGTCTGCGGCATTCGTGGTCGTGTCAGGACGGAAGACTTCAGCAGTGGCTGGGCTGGCACAATCCAGAAAGCAGGAACACTTACCTTTGGATGCGAGTGAGCGATCAGAGGGAAGAGAAGTGATGCGAACGTTTTTCATTTCGCCAAATTGGTGGCCTCTGCAAGGAGAAGAGGAGGAGGAATGCTCAGGTTGACAGAAAAGCATCAGCCGGACGGAGTAGGAGAGGAGGACTCAGAAACAACAATCACAATCTCCCCGGTCGGCGATAAGCACACGCCGCGGCCCCCCCCCGCACGTGCCGCCCAAAGGGGAATAGTGCCTAGTGCCTGAGGCATGCAGGCAGGGACCCAGAACCTGCTCGTTCTAGGGTCATTATTGGTACAGTACAAAGAATCCTACCCATACTAGACAGGATTCACACCACTAGTTCATCTTCCTCTTCTTCCTACCAAAGTAGCGTGACGTATCTCCCAAAGGCAAGTCCACAATCGAGTCTTGCAACAGTAAATGACACACAATATACCACCCGGCTAACCCGGCCACAAAGCACGACGCTCCTCCGGTCTTCTTCAGCGCAATTGAGGCCGCATGGTGTCCGTCCGCCTCGGCAAAGTAGCTGGCAGCCACGGTCAAGAACCCCAGGTCCACCAGGAAGAACACGACAATATAGGCGAGATTGCTGGGTAGGGAAGCAATGAGGAAGGTAAACACGAAGACCGTCCAAAGAATCATGAAGAACCCTAGCGCATTGTTGTACTGCACAGTATCGCCGCCATATGCTTGCTCAATTCCGAAAGCCGGAGTCAGAATGGCTCCATACCCTGCATAGAAGAGTCCTTCGCTTGATTAGTATATATTGCACTTGTGGTGGGTCCGGTCCGGTTGGGATGATACTCACCAAATGCACTAAACACAGTGTAGGCAAATCCATTCCCGATGGAGAGTTCCCACTGGGCCGTTACCACCAGGCCAAAGGCCGCAATAAAGAAGAAGTTGGCAACAAAGACGTTGGTCGTGGTCACTCCACGCCATTCCATCAGGCTCAACGACAGCGTCGTCAATGTCGTGCCGAATGCGCCCAAGGCGAGAGCCGACTGCAGGATGGTTAGAACTATAGCTTTTGGATGACGGGCGTAACCTACTCCGGCGCCTAGAGACTTCGCTGGCTTGGACTCGTCCAGATGGTGGGAGCCTTGTTGCTCTATGTCCACTGCCGATGAGGTTCCCTTGGCTTCGGTGGTGATGTGGTCGATTGAGTCGGTAGCAGACATAGTGACTGATGTCCACAGCAAGGTGGGTGATTTCGATCGTTGTGTTGGTATGGCTTGGGCAACGACCACCTGCGGCTACTTCAAGTATATGTAGCCACCAGTACCGGTATGAAGACTTGACGTCCCATGTTGCGGTTTAGCACATCATTGGTAACTGCAATGACGAGAGATGAACAGACGATCTATCCTTGGTAGTGAATCAAGTCGATTTACACTTGGGGGTCTATGGATGAGAACGGATTCGCTAATGTGGTCTTCCGGCCCAATACGTGTGCAATGTATACATCGCATTGGAGCTGTCGGCCGATACCGATCGCCTAAGAAAGTCTCGGATGAGGTGCTTGGCTGAATTTCAGGGCAGATTAAGCTTATTTGCCCGCCCTCGGTGGCCCTCCCGAAATTCGCTTCTGCAATGCTGCAACTTGAAAATGCTAAGCCTTCGATTTGCGACCGACGCATCCTCTTTTCGTGTCCGCCGTAGAAAGAAAGACCAATAGTGATCGTGAATGGTGTGCTATACATCTGTGCGTGCTGGGCTCCTACTTCGTGGACATGGAAACTAGGGGCGATCTTTGCCCGGATCCTTGGGGAAGGTACTGTACTCAGCGTAGGCGGGAATTGCGTGCTCGAGAGCCGGCTTACCTCATCCCATGCGACCTTGAGCTAGCACCAAGCAGTCTGCAATTTATCCAAGTCACCACATCTTACCTCAAGACGAACTTCCAAGATCGCTTCCATTGCAATGACTTCTTCAGACAACCTCCTGTATACGAACGGGACTCCTGACGGAGAGACAGGGCCACAGCCTCGGCTTTCATCGCCCGGCCTTGGGTTATCAGCCTAATCGTCCCGTTGCAGCGCAAATGGCCTGACTGTCGCCTTACTTAAACCTCATCCTAGGTTAACATTTATTGTGAGGACTATAATCAGTAAGTTTCCCTGTAGAGGTATGCCTAAGTAGCACTACGTCAGATCAACGCGCGGTGTGCCTTGCAATGATCATCCATCTTGATGCGCTTTGGCCTAATCCTATACGGACGGGGATATATATCTTGCTTTCGGAGGAAGCCCACGACACTCAACCAAAATAACGGGAGCATTATGATAAAGCTCAGGGATGGATAATATCGAATGATATCCTGATTCTGGGTGGTCGGATGGTTGGTCAAATTAGCTGAGTTCTTTGCGTGTAAACAAGCCTGGTGAATCGCCTTGGATCACGTGGCCGGATCACTCAGGAACGCCGACGGGTTACTGGCAGATTGTCGAAAAGTAGAGACCTGACCAGGTTGAATAGGTATGGAAGTCCGAGATATTTTAGGAAACCACTTATTTATCAGTTGAGCGACTGAGCAGATAATTTGGGCAGGCGAGACTCAACCCCGGGCCCGCGTACGGCCCGGGGAGCGAGGACAACTGCCAAGAACGCAATCAAAGAACAAGCCCAGATAGAAGGGGTCTTGGCATTGTAAGTTCCAAGCTTGTGCCTGGGCGAGCCCATCCTCGAATAGAGTCCCAGGCTCTCAGCTGCAAGTGGAGCAGAAGTGACGGGATTGGCTCCGAGGCAACGCGGCGATATTCTTAGTACCGACCGACTTGGCGCTAAACAAGTCAGGACGGGAAAAGTGGCCCACCAGCAAAAGTGGAGGGGAGAAATCGTTCAAATCTCCCCTCGAGCCAGATGGTCTCCCTGATGGTCTCCAGGTTTTGTCTCTACCCCACATAATAGGTGGTCGGTCATGTCAGATTTAATGGCCCCATAGGGAATCATGACTATTGGGGCGCGGTGGGGAGGACAAAAGAGTCCGTCTGTCCAGACTGCCGATCTGGGAGACTCCCAAATTCGGAATTGGTCGTCTGTGGCTGGTTCAAGTTATCTGACTTGGAGTCCATTTCGCTCGTTTTCTAGGCAGCGTATAACCAGACAGAGGAGAAATCGAGGTGGGATATCGACGCGAGTTCAGCGCCCACCGGGTCAAGAATGGATGCAAGGTGCTTTGCTCTGTGCTTACATTGCCACGGCGATTGCATGTGTGAATTTTATCTTTATCCTTATCGCGATGGGAATCGGCTATTCCAAACGAACCACCGCGCACAGCTTCTCGCGACTCCGACTGTACCACGGTCACTGTAATCGAACCAGTCACTGGGCGACCGCCATCCACATCATCATCAACCTCTTTTCCACTGCCCTACTAGCGGCCAGCAGCCATGCCATGCAGTGCGTGGGAGCCCCCACCCGCGAGGATGTGGACCGGGAACACAAGCAGCGCCGCTGGCTGGATATAGGAGTTGTGAGCTGGCGCAATTTCCGCACCATGAACCCTAAGCGGAAAGTCCTGTGGCTGTTGCTTCTTCTCAGCTCAACCCCCATCCATATGCTGTGTGTCAATGATGCCCGTGCCCTATCCCTAATCACGCTTTCCCGTATCCCGCACTGACTTGCGTCTATACAGCTACAACTCCGTGGTATACGCCTCGATCGTAACCTACAACTATGCCATGGTTTTGATCCCGGACGATCTGTCTCCGACCGAGTCGCTGGTCCAGGCGAACCATTCGGCCAACTTCTATGCGGCAGTGGGGAGCACCCCTGAGGCGATTCGCACCGAGATCTTCAATGGAGCTTTCACAAACATGACCAACGAAGAGTGTCTTGATAGCTATGATGTGCAATATAACACGCAACAGTCTACCCTGATCTTTGTGGCCGACCGACGGTTTTTCCGGAACCAAAGCAGCTTTAGCGCGATGATGGACGGTTATACCTCCATTTACGACTACACGAATGACGAAGGGACTGCGGTCGCTAAGACCGCGATAGCGAACAATACGTGGACAGCGCAGGGGCTCAGCTGGAATCTCTACTCGTCTGCCATCGCATACGAGAACCCTGATGGGTTCCCCCAAATCCCGATTTCCCACTGCATGGCCAAGCGTGCAGTCCAACGATGTGAGCTGCTTTTCAGCCCGTCGATCGCCCTTGTAGTGATTGTCAGCAATATCGTCAAGGTTGTATGTATGTTCTTGGCCGCTCGAACGAACCGTCCAGGGATCTTACTGCGAGTGGGCGACGCCGTCGCCTCGTTCCTCAACCAGCCTGATCTCACTACCCAGAACCGGTGTCTCATGTCGCGGGAAGATATGACCCATGGTCCTGACCCCTGGGAACTCGCACCCAGTGGTGGGAGTATCTTTCGGCGCTGGCTGTGTTCCCTGCGGTCGCAGAGAACGATGGACATCGCTTTGGTGAACATCTCCACGAATAGCTCCACCTCCCCAAGTGAAGGGGTGTTGGAGGGACTTCGTCCCAGGAAGTTGTCCGGTCGGAAGTTCTGGTTCCAAGCTGCGAGTTGGAAACGATGGGTGCTTGCTCTCTTCCTGTCAGTCTTTACCGACCCAATGAGTTGGATTTATACCCTAACATAATCTTCCCAGGTTCTCCGCCTGTATCGGCGTGCCCAGCTGGCTGTATCACGCCCTCGTCACCGAAGCAGAATGGTCTCTGGAAGACCAGTGGTACCTGGGATTCGGGAGTCCGAACTACGAAACCGGGCTATATTTCGGCACCAGCAACATCTTAGCCCTGGTTCTCTTGACCAACTCCCCCCAACTGGTGTTTTCCATCTTGTACTTCGTCAGCAAGAACCTGCTATCGTGCATGCTGGTCACGGCCGAGTACAACGACTATGCGACGCAGCGCAAGCCTCTCCGCGTTTCTTGGCCCCGGGTCCACCAACGATCCTCCTACTACCTCTCCTTGCCGATCCGATACAGCGCCCCGTTGTTTGTCATGTCTGCCGCCCTGCATTGGCTCCTCACCGAAAGCTTCTACTCCGTCGATTGGAATGTGTACAACGTGTTTGGGGAGGTCGATTACGATGACTCCCCCGATGGATGTGGCTTTTCTCCGATGGCTATTCTAATGACTATCATCCTCCTCGGGGTGGCGTTGTGCGCACTGCTGCTGCTGGGTGCGCGTCGCTTCAAGTCTCCCATGCCGTTGGCAGCGCATTGCAGCGCCGCCATCAGTGCTGCTTGTCATCCCCCGCCCGAGGATGCGGGCGCTGCTTTCCAACCGGTCATGTGGGGGGAGGTCAGTCATCCCCAGAACGCCACCCATGGTCATTGTACCTTTACATCACATGCAGTGGCTACCCCCTCCTTGTCGCGTCTGTATACTTAATGATATGAATGTCTTTATTCTGGAATCTCTCTTCGTGGCTGAAGCGTACAGTAAAGCCCTGTCCATCATCTAGATGACCGAAATCGGCTCATTCCATCCCCTCCCCCCCCCCTCCTGCCGACCCAACGGCGTCATATCCAAGAGTTGATAGGTGGACAAGATCGCCTCGATCCCTCGATCCGACGTCTCATATGTGTGAAAGACCTCGTCTTCTTCCCTGATGAACACACTCAACCCGAAAAATCCATTGCTGGGCTTCCAAGTGATGGTCTCTCCGTTTGCCTCCGCATGCTTCCATGCCTGATGTGTTTTGGTCGAGCTGTGAAATGGAAACTTCCACCCCAGTCGGGTTGCATGCTCGGTGATCCCTTGCAAGGGGGTGGGCGTAACAGCGACGAAGGAGGTGTCTCTGCTGTGCAGGTACTGGAGAGGGGGAATATGGTCCATGCAGGCGTGCGCGATGCCGTCGTGGCCGTCGGCCTCGGTCGCCAGCATCACGTGCCAGAGGATCAGTTGTTTGCGCCCGTCAAAGAGATCAAGGAGGGACTGTTCCCCGTGCACCGTGTCGAAGCAGAAGCGAGCTGGATCGTCGACCTTTACCATGGGAAGTCGGCGACGGGCCGCAGCGACGGCCTGCGAGAGATACGTCACGGCCTTTTCGTCTTGCAGGAATTGGGCGCGGGCGGCTTTGAACTCCTCGGGAGAGACAATTTCTTGTGGAGGCTCATCCATAGTCGGTCTGGCCATCTTGGTATTGTGGGAAGCAGCGAGAGATCGATGGTAGCGTGAACTGTGGTCCCCAGGTACTCGTAAACCTTCTATAAATGAATGATGTCAAGGGATGGTTGCTTGTCATGGCATTCCAGCCACAATCCTTGCTTGTAATTACATGTGATCTTGCATAACCTGTTGTACAAACTGACGTATCCCCACTGACTAGCTGACTCATGCACAATCTCCGGTAGCCTCAACATGCCAATTTGAGCTACACCTATGGTCCCTGGTGACAAGATCAACGCAAGGACTTGCAGAGCTACTTTGAGGCCCTTCTTCCAGCCCAAAAGAAACTTAGATTGACGGTGCATGAACTAAGTAGCCCTACAGTCCTAGGCGGAGTTGACTTCCGTGTTGACCCCCCGTGACGTGAACAGACATTCGTGTATGCTTCCAAGACCATGACATTCTTGGTTACTGGGCACTGTTTAATCCACTGGTACGTGATGTAGTTTAGGCTCCGAACGAACACATACGACCACAGGGTGTGGAAAACAGGGCTTCCCGTCCGCTCAGCCGTACTTAAGCCACACGCCGGGAGGTTAGTAGTTGGGTGGGTGACCACCAGCGAATCCCTTCTGTTGTATGTTTTTTGTTGCTTTGGATTGTCCTTTCGTCCTGCAGTTGATGTTGACGCGGCCGTCCCGCGAATTGTTCTCTGGGCCAAGTCGAACTGAAAAGCCCTCGCCAAGCCCTCTTTATCAATCCCAAGCCAGCGAAAAAAGACTTGTAAACAGTTGAACACGTAATAAAGTTTCTGATATCGGATACCTATACTCGGAGAAGGCAGATATCCTTCCCTCAAACACACCTATAGCGCCCGAAGAAAGGCAGCCATCTTCTGTAGATCTGGATTTTCGGGATAGCCTTGCTCCAGATACCGACAAATTGACTCCCCTTCCAGCACCGTGCGTGGGGTCATCCACCACACTCCCAGTCCCCGAATCTTCCCATACCAGCAGGCCAGTAGTAACAATGCCCGAGGATCTTTCGCGAGCAACAGCAACTTGAAGTTGGACGACATGGTGCTGAGAAATGTGACGAATCTCAAGATAGTCGGCAGAGGAGGCCGATCACCGAACAGCGCCCACGCAACGTCGACGGCGACGCTATGGTATACCGCTTCAGAGTCCGACGACTGTTTTCCCGTGCCCAGATCAAAGAGCCGCAGAAACGAGGCGGGAACCCCTTGAAGAGGCGCCGGGGGTGGAGCAGGCCGATTTATGATCGGATTGTTTTCCACCGGTGCTAGAGCTGCTGAGATGCTGTCTCGTGGAGCGGAGGGCATCTGGCGCCAGACTTCGTCTTTCCCTCGCGCAATCCTTAACCAGGTGGGACCGCTGACGAGATTCGGGGATAACGGCCAGGCCTCTTCTGGACTCGACGCATCGACGTGGCAGAAGACTAGTAGCCACAACAGCATGGACGTGCTGAGCAAGGCGGCTTTGTCGTCGGATTGAGGATTCTGCGACAGTTTCCGATTGAAGCCAACCAGGGCTCGATCCCAGTGGTAGAGTTCTGCCCAGTCGGGGGTCAATCGGAAGGGTGTTGTTGTGTGGCGCTGGTACATATAGGTTACCGTCGTGATGGCATGCTTGAGGAATGGTGTCTGGAGTGCATCAGTGGGTGATTGATAAAGTATCACTTATCACTGCCTGCTTTTAAAAAAAGCAAAAGAAAAAAAAAAGAGAAAGGAAAAGAAAAGAAACGGAGGACGGAAGAGCAAGGGAATAAAGATGGTGAGCCTACCGTCTGTGCCAGTTCGACCACTTGAGTTTGATATACATCCAGCCGTTTGCCATAGCTCATGGTCGGGGCGATTTGTAGTTGGAATCGGTTCATCAGCCGATCGATCGGGCAAAGCCAATAAGGTAATCCAATCGAGGGCGAGGGCCGAGCAAAAACATGCTCGATGACGGGTTGCAGGGGCTGCATCTTAGTCTGAGTGAAGCTAAAACTACAGGAGACACCATAAGCCTGGCATTGCCGACACATGGGTTTGACTTCGTCGCACTGCCATGTGAGCATATCAGACGGCAAATTAGCCACTGCAGTCCAGCAGAGAAGGGACACCCACCTTCACCCGTCGAAGCTTGCAGTTTTTACAGCCCCATCTTGATCGCTGCCTAACACGAGCTGGACCCATGACCCCAAGGCCCAATCTTGTTGAACCTGTTGTTGGGAAGAGACGAGATTGTAGATGAGTGACATCAAGGTTGTTCTCAGCCTCGCGGGGCATCGCTCTGGATCCAGGCGGCCGGGGATGCATGGCGGATGCCGGATTTACCGGGTTTAAGCGCGGCGGATGGCGCTAGACCTCTTTTCGGTTACAGACCGTTTTGATTGGCTCGATGGTCAATACAGCTTCATTGTCGGGATCGATCAGGTCCATGATCTAATGACGTGGAAACTACTATGTCTGTGATTATATCGAGTATAAGAGCAGGTGCAAGCCCCAAGGGTAGTCGTACAGACACTCTGCTCGTTCAGTCAGTTTCTTTTTGACCCCTAACATTAATCCACTAACTGTACTTTGGCCTACCTTGCAACACTGCGGGTCGCCATCGGGATATATATCCGCGCTTGAACTTCCACCTTCAAAATGCCACCCAACCAAGCAGCTTGGCTGGTCCGTTCCAAGGCTTCTCCCTTTGAAGTCCGATCCGCTCCCTACACACGACCCCGAGAAGGGGAGATTGCTATACGGACTCACGCCGTGGCCATTAATCCCATCGATTGGACTATCCAAGGCCAAGGTACCACCCTGATGTACCAATGGCTATCTTACCCGACCATCTTGGGCACTGATGTAGCCGGAGAGGTGGTTGAGGTCGGACTGAATGTCACCACATTCCGGGTTGGTGACCGTGCTTTCGGCAAAGCATGCGGCACCGACGAAGAGATCAATTCTCACACCCAAGGGGGCTTCCAACTCTATGTCATCCTCGCGGCACATATGGCCTGTCCCATTCCCGATCCACTATCGTATGAGCAAGCTGCAGTGCTACCCCTGGGAGTCTCTACCGCCGCATGTGGACTGTTTGAACCCGACCAGCTCAACCTCAAGCCCCCATGCGCTCGCCCTGAGCCCACCGGCCAGACTGTCATCATTTGGGGCGGGGCTAGCAGTGTCGGTACCTGCGCAATTCAACTCGCTCGGGCTGCAGGATACCGAGTTTTCGCAACCGCCTCACCCAAAAACTTCGAGCTGGTGAGACAGTTAGGCGCCAGTCGGGTGTTCGACTACCGGAGCCAGACGGTCATACCAGACATGATCGCCGCCTGTCAGGGCGAGACTGTGGCGGGAGCACTGACTGTAGGGGCCAATGGAGCAGATTGCTGTTTTGATATTCTCGCTCAATGCACCGGGCCCCGATTCATCTCCATGGCTGCCTATCCAGTGCCACAGCCGCCTCCGGCGCATCTCACGGTTCCTCGTACGGCGCTCGCATTCATGGTCGGAAATTCGAAGTACTGGTACAAATCCCGCATGCGAGGAATCAAGTACAAATACATCTTTGCCAGCACGCTATATCACAATGGGGTGGGGGCTATGGTTTTCCAGCAGTACCTGCCGCAGGCTTTGGCCGAGGGTCGGTTTCGGCCAGCGCCCGAGCCGATCGTTTATGGCAGGGGTCTGGCCGACATTCAAGGGGCAGTGGACTTTCACAAGTTGGGAGTGTCGGCGCAGAAGGTGGTTGTACTCTTGGATGACTGATATTGTTTCTGCCTCGGGTTTGTCGTGGAACAATTTGTTTTCAAAAAAGAAAGGAAAAAAAAAAAAAAAAAAAAAAGAGGTCGGACCTAGGTAGCCCCATCTGAGCCATTATTTCAGCAATCACTTTTGTATTGGCACTGGCACATAAAGTTGAGAAAGTTTGGCATGATATAATTGCTCTTTCTGATCAACCGTGTTGAAGCTTCACTCATTGTTTTCCACTCACTATGCATTCTGGGTCTAACGCTGAAATGTGGACCAGGTTGGGCTACGTGTCGAAAGACTGGTTGTTAAGTGGGTGGTTGCAAAGGGTCCTAGGCTGTATAATTTCAGACTCTTCTTCGCACTGTATGCGCAACCTGGACCTGCTTTCGACTCATGCCTAGTAGACCGTGCAATGTACAGATTCTAAAACCCGAGCTGGTAGAAAACCTCGTCTGATCTAGAGAAACAGTAATGTCTGGCCGAGTGCTAGCCAGCCGTGACAGGGAATATCCACTCCGAAGAGCCCGATGGCTTTTTGATTAAACAGTGACTCAGAGTGACTTTCTGGATAGTGACTGTTGGAAAGGCAGGGGGAAAGTTGGGTTGGAGAGTCGAGGAGAAACGCGAGGGGCGCCAGAGGGGATTCTATATCATATTGCAGTAAGGGAACAAGCACTAGTCGTGCATCGGCTGTCCTCGGTTCTGTCATTGAGCATCGGAGGAAATGATTTATTGGCCACTGCCGGGGACAGTCCTAGACAGTGGTGTTTGTTCCCGCGGCTCCCAGCAACGGTTCCCTCTCCCTCCCCAACTTGCTCTGTACCTCCGGTTTCTGGCCAACCATCCGCCAATACAGCGCCCAGACCAAAGACAAGAATTGCACTCCCGCGAACACCCCATTGTTCACAACCGGGTATCCATACAGAAAATACCAACCTAAGCCCAGCGGGTCCCAGGTCTCGGCATATACTACCCGGAAGACCCACGATATCGCGACAAGACCAAACACGACGGCCTGAACCGCAAGTCCCGTTAGACTCAGCGCCGTGTCGTGTGCATGGTTTCGACTCTGTGCTGCCTGGAGGAACCAGGAAAAGCCCCCGATGAAAGTAGCCATGGGGGTGAGGAGCACGGCATGATAGAAAATGAACATCTCGCGCAGGTCTTGGCGGGGCCAGCTCTTAGTCTCTGGTGTGAGACCCAATATGTCGATGAGCTCCGGGATCAGCGAGACCAGGAGGGCAAGAATGTAGAGATTGCGATACGGGCCTGTGTCGGAGCCCGGCCGTCGGAGGCGAACGCATAGTATGAAGCTGATCGTCTCTGGTTTAGTGGGCGTGGTACAAGCACCCATAGCGGACACTTACAGGATAAGAAAAAGAGCCCATGTTACGAGATTTTGAACGAAGTTTAGCCAGTCCCCAGCGCTGAGAGGATCGTGCTTGAAAGTTCCAGCAGCAGCCTCAGGGACATTGATGGAGAGGTAGACTTCTTTCGTGAGCTCTTCAGTCACGACCAGGAGATTAGCAAGCACATAGCCAAGAGATATTCCCGTGCTGCTCTTCTTGGACCAGAGAGCATGAAGCTGAGGAGCGAAGGAGAGGATCGTGAGGACGATTAGAATACTTAAGAAGGTTAGTGCTGTGGGGGCATAGTAGAGGCTAGGTAGAGAATGCGCACACTCTGAGAGAATCAGACGCCTCTGGAAAAGAATCGTCCAGTGGTTGCATCATCTTAACTGGCAAAAGTCGCTGGTTCCTGAAAGGTGGTGGGTGATGGATGATGGATGGTGGATGTTGAGAGGGAAATTGCGGCTGAGGATGCTAGTCTAGCCACAAGCGACTAACTAGTCACTTGGCTACCTTGACAGTGTACGCGTACTACATACAGTATATTACATGTACTGTACTGGACGGACAGACAGCCGAGTTCACTGAGCTGGTGTCCAAGGCCACGAATTCATGTACAGAACATACTTAATTGCGTTACTTGTGCGAAGTCTGCCAATATGGGATCTGCGGCACTGTTTAGAAAGCACTCTGAGTACATAGACGTCAAATATGCTACCGCCTACGCTGAAGCTACGGAATTTCCAGGGGCAAGAGCAAGATCGGTTTTGCGAGCGACAATTTGCAGTGGGTTCCATGCCAGACCATGGTCGACACCACGTTGACCAGAGGATTCCCGCGCCAGATCCTCCAGCCACCCGTGCTCCTCGTCCTTGCCTTGTGCCAGATTAGATTGCAGGATGCCCAGCACTCCACTGAGATAATTGTGATAGTACTGACCCCGAACGGTGTCAGTCCACGAGCCCAGCGTCGCTTCGGTAACGTCGAAACCATGCTTTCGAAGCGTGTCTGGCAACGTTTTGACCCAGCTATCCGCCAGTCAATAAATGCTTGTCAGGGAGCGCTCATACCAAGCCACAGACACGCGATTTCTCTTTCATGCGAGAGCAAAGCCACATACCTTGGATCGAGATGCTGTTCCTCCAGAAAATGCGAGTACACATGCTCTAAGCGTTGCATAGGCTTAGATAACACCCCGCTCGTGTCACGATCAACCTCCTCCCATTGAAGGTAGCCCCCAGGCTCTGTATGCATCTCTATCAGCCCATGAGATCTGCATTTGTTTCAACGGCAACTTCACATACTCAACAAGGCCTCAGCGAGCCGGATCAACTTGCCCGGGCAATTGTTCCGCACCACGCAGGCCCATAAACGTAGGTGCACCACGTCGAAGGCGGCGAGCATGTCTTCCGGGATCTGATCGGACATGAGGTCCAGAGTGTTCAATTCCACGTTCTGTGGAAGCGTCGAGCGGGGTGGGAAAGCATCAGACGAAACATCGTAGCCGACAATCTCGACTTTCTCCGTATCTATCGCTCGGCTAAGCTCGAGGCACCAGATGCTAGATGCGATATGACCGTCAGAGCTTCGGGAGCATTAGCGGATGGACGAGGGCATACCCTGTTCCCGTGCCGAGATCAGCGACCCTCAGACCCGGCCTCCGGGGAACCAAGGGGCTCAGAACGTGACCCGTCTGGAGTTTCCATAGTAGGTGCTGCTCGTTGAGTCTGATGGATAACCTCATCAGTGCAAGCGATTGTGGGGGAAGACGGACTCTTGCAACTCCTTACCTCACACTCTCATGCAAAGTCCGATCTAGGATATACCCATCAAGGGAAGTAATTGGAGCCATTGCGGTGGTACGATGCCGTGACCCACGGCCTCCCGTCAACTGACACTCTGCGAAGCCCCAAGCCGGCAGAATCAGCTCATGGCTACTGGGTATGGATTTATAGAAATGAAAGGTGGGTACTAGTTTCGTAGTCGTCATTCGCCCGGCAAGGCACGGACCAAGTGCATCATCAGGAATTCTACTCCTCAATCCCCGCTGGCTTCCCGGCCGATCGCTCCATCGTACCCTCCATGAACCGACTTGAAGCCTGACTGCTCTTTGCTAGTATGGCCTCACAAACGATCATCGAAGTTATGATAAAAGTGCTGACGTGAAGACCGGACCCAGTCAAGACATTGCAGAAGAGGGGTGAGTCATGCAGGTCGGCTGGCATGCGCCCGGAGCGCTGTAAACCAGGAACACATACCCGGGGCTATCGAAAACACCATGAGATACAGCGTGGGCGAATCAGATGTCGAACATAGGGATGTGATGGGAAGAGAAAAACTTCTTTTGGGAGATAGTCACTTCTTCAGGCCGAACATGCAGCCGGTGGGAGTAGCTCACAAAATTCTTCATGCACGCCGCCGTTTTGGGAATGATTGATCTCAGTCACGGGTCGGAAACCACGAGTGAAGATTGGAACGAATTCTTTAACCCGCGATACAGATTGGGACTCAAGGGATAATGCAAGGTACCTAGTATACTGCACGTGATGGATGCCATCTTCGAGGAATTCAAGATTGTGCCCAGAATCAATCGAGATTTCCATGCCTCCAACAAGAATGATGTCTCTCACGACTAGCCATTGAGTGACGTATGCTACATATCTCATATTGCCACAAGATGAGTAAATCTGTATATAACTTTCAGGGCATCTGCAGAATTGAAATAAGTGATCATGGCCCGGATGCAAACAAGCATTCTATCTGACCTGGAATCATGTTGAAAAAAATGCTGTATGTACAATCAATCGAGGACGGAGCTGTATCCGACAGGGTGCAGCGACTGGCATTTCTTGCTGCCTGCTCTCTCGGGATCGCATTTGTGTCATGCTACGTCCTTGCTCCTCTTGTTCGATCCCTCCGATCTCCCCTCCGCAAGCTCCCAGGACCATGGTATGCTCCACTGACGACATTGCACCTTCGATACGCCTTCGCCAGGGGTACTATCTGGAAGCTTGTCGAGTCCAAGCACAGACAATATGGACCGGTCTTTCGGCACGGTCCTCGACAAATATGGATCTCGGACAAAGATGCCTTGCGAACTATTCTCCAAAAGGTAGACCTTCCCAAGATACAAATGTACGCGGAGATCTCTCGTGATGCGCACAGCCCAGGCCTGTTTGGGGAAGTGTAGGTTGACCCACACTCTCCTCTCCTCTTGCCCTCTAATGGACTTCGGCTAGGCGACCGGATCCCCATAAAACCCTCAAGCGCTTCTTATCACCCAGATTTACGGTTGCGCATGTTGACAAACAGACCCACCTGTTTGAGAAGTGTATCGGGGATCTAATTGCAAAATACTACCAGCTCACCGAGGCTAAGGCAAAGACAGATGTAGTCGTGACAGACTTGATGATGGATTTGCATGGCCTGGCGCTTGACATGTGAGTTGTTCTGTCCTTGCAAGAGAAGGCTGAAGTTGATGTCTTGCTTTCAGCATGGGAGAGTGTTCCTTTGGCCGAGGTTTTGGGCAAACACTCCCAGTCGAAGAAGAGTACTTAGGAATGGAGGACCGCATCTGGCTACAGATCCCCCACTCCATCTTCCATGGCATGACTCAGAGGTATAAGGTAGAGGCCTCCAGATCCTCCAATTTCTGTTGTTACTAGTGACTCTAACCCAATCATCGAGGCTGTAGATGGTCTACGTCAAGCGATGGTTACGAGGGCTCGGGATAAAGCTGCACTTTGACTGGCCTGCTGATATGATTCGGGTAAGTATCAATACAGCTTCGTCTCCTCCAATATATACCCCAAAGGCTTACATCGACTTTCCCCGAAAAGGCCATCGATGCTATCGTCAGGGAACGCTCCGACTCCAAAGACCACTCTCGAACAGATTTACTTCAACATTTTCTCGACAGTGGTACCCGACCAGATTCGTCCGCACCAATGAACACTCGGGATATCATCGACCAGGTGTCAGAGATTCTCCTAGCCGGGTCAGAGACCACTTCTGGAACGATTGCATGTCTCTTTCTCGAACTCCTACACAATCCCGACAAGAAAGCCAAGTTACTGGATTCACTCCCGGTACTTACTGCCACTGATCCAATTATCAACAGCAAGACGGTGCGGACAGAGCCCGAATTTCGCTATCTGAATGCCTGCATCAAAGAGACGCTGCGATTGCACCCGATTGCGAGCGAGATGGGTCGCAAAACTGGCACGGATTGGTATGAACTTGCGGGATACTCCATCCCGCCGGGCACCGTCGTCTCTGCTAGCTACAGGCATCTGCATCGTAACCCGGAGTTCTGGCCCGAGCCATTGAAGTTCTGGCCGGAACGATGGTTAGAAGATGAGAACGCCCGTGACGGTGCTCCAGAGCCCGAGTAAGTATCCGACTCGTGAGAGTGAGCCCCGTGTATGGTCACTAACAGGTATGCAAGTATAAGTGCCTATTATCCATTTTCTGCGGGCCAGCACTCGTGCATTGGAATCAAGTGAGTAGTTGAACAGGTACCCGCCTACCGTACAACCGCTAATGGTAGTAGCTTCGCGTGGGCCGAGATGCGCATGGTCGCTGCAAACGTTTTCGCCCGGTTCGATCTCGAAGATATCATGAACCAGCACGTTGATTTCCGGCAATACATCACAATGCAGTTGGAGAACGGCTCGCACAAAGTGGTATTGAAGCAGCGGTTCTAGCCTGGTTTCTGCAAGCAAATCCGGGCCGACATCCCACGGGTGTTGGATATCAGGTTGCTATGGTAAAATGGGGCACAAAGGTCCCAGTCTTCTGCTAGATCAAATTTAATGGCAAATGGATGTACTATCAGTTCTCCAAATCCAAGTCTCTAGGGATTGAGCAGTTTGGTTTCCTTGAAAATTTGATATGATTGCAGTACACTACTCGAGATAAAGCCTGTCGCTTAGTCATTGCTGTTGTGGAGATCAGTTCTACTGGGCATACGTCGAGTATCTCCTTTGCTACAAAGATGTTGCGATGATATACACAAGGATAAAGGGTTTATCCAGCTTACGAACGCATAGCCCCCAGCCTGAGTTTGCAACCGCGAGGTATAAAGTCAAATGAACATGAGCTCGGCGTGTTATAAAGTGTGATCACTTATCGCCGTATCTATTTGCGACCCACCCATCCAAATATAGGTCAAATACCCCGGGCCATACTTCTGATATTCAAAAGGAATTCAGTGATGCACACCCTGGATTAGTAGCACAGTGTACCCGAGATATGAAAAATACTTTATCTTCAGAATGTCGTGTCACCCAGCAGTTGTGCGCAGTAAGGTCTCGACCGCCTTTAGTGGATTTCCTGGATGGCTGCAACGTGTTTAATCTCTGAGAAGTAAGGATATCGAGAACGTAACCAGCCATCTAACCGGACGCACGCAGGAAGGAAGCCAACCAACGGTACGCTTCTTCAACCATGCGATCGAGAGCCGGTCCGCCTGCCCCGAGGTCAAACAGATGCAACCCATCCGCGGGTAGGGCAATCTCCGTCGCGATCCCCTGCTCTCGCAGCGCCTCGTGCATCCTCAGCGCCTGTGTCCACGGAACCAGCTGATCACTCTTTCCATGGAGAAGATAGGTCGGAGAAAGATGCTTGCCCGCAGAGGCAGCCGCATAGGGGCTGAACTGCCGAATCCGATCCGTGGGCGGCGGCGGGGCGAAGAGAATGGAATTGATCGCCTCCTCGGTGTTGGGGATCGCACTGCGAGGTGGCAGTCCGTTGGCAAAGATCTGAAGGGTCTGCCCATGACGAAGCATATGCGTGTAGATCCGCGCGCGGGGGCTGCGGGCGGCCAGCGCGTATGCGGTGACGATGTCCTCGTGGTTGAAATCGTGGCCGCTTATCTAGGAAGTTCAAGAGTGGTCAGCAGGTTTCTCGGAGCTATCTATCAGGCACAGGGATGCACCGGCTGAGATTGGACGTCGTCGAGGATAGTAGGATCGCCGTCCTTGCGTGAGGCTTGCGCCGGAAGCTCGCGGGGCGTGGTGAAGTCTAGTCCAGGTCAATATGCTCTTTTCTGCCCCCCTTTCTCTGCCCGTTTCTAGAATCGAGTACTCACACGGGTCTTCGAAGTCGGTGGGACAGTAGAAAGAAACAATGGCTTCGGGAGGTCGATATCCTGGAATATCCCATGCTTGGCCGAGCAAAAGCGCAAGGGTGCCTCCAGAGGACCAGCCAATGACTCCCACACGATCGCCATCCAGGCACAGACCACGGTGTTTGAGTGTAAGTTGCGGCAGTTGCGTGCGCACCCACTGCAGGGCCTCCCGCGTGTCGGTCATCGGCCCATCAAGGATGTTTACTTCAGGACAAAGACGAAAGTCGACGCTCACCAGGACGATTCCCTGGCTGAGGAGGAATTGGATCTGATCTTGGGGAACATGCTTTCTTGACAGCATGACGTTTGCACCCCCGTGCAGGAGAAGAGCTGGGGCCGGGGTGGCGTGTAGCCTGGCTGTTAGCCTAGGCCAACCCGGGTAGGAGACAGTGGAATTCCCATCAGCACGCGGGTCTAGGACGAGAGGACTTACCCATAGGATACTTGTACGCAGGCCCCAGCTGAAGCCGGGGAGGGTAGTAGATATCCGCCGAGAGATGCGGCTTGCCGGTCTTCCAAACCAGGGTTTCACAATCCACCTCACAAGGGGGGCAATAAGTTGGAATCTGGTCGCACTCCGAGGCGAATCCGCAGATCAGTCGAACCGTCTGCGCTTCCGGGCTGGGCCCGTCACTTATCATAACCTGCTGAAATCCTGCACCGCGCATAGCATTGTCCCACGTGGCGGGGGACCCCAACGCGTACGAACGCCCGTCGTCGAACAGCCACCAGCCCTCCAGCAGACCGAAGATCAAATCCATAAAGAACAGCCGCCGGGTAATCTCATTCAGGCAGATCAGTCCGTCGGGTCGCAGCATCTGACGCGCGTTCGAGAGCGATACCTGGAGGTTACGTGTGGCATGTACACAGTTGGTGGACACAATGAGGTCGAATCGCCCCAGAAGGTCAGGCTTCGGGGGCTGCTCGACATCGACGATCAGAAACTCCATCGAGTCGTGGTAGGCCTTGAACCGACGTTGGGCGGTCGCTACCATCGAGCTCGAGATGTCAGTGAAGCAATACTGAAATGGGACGCCGGAGTCGGATAACGTCTCGAGCAAGGGGACAGTAGATGCACCGGTTCCAGCGCCGAGCTCGAGGATGCGAATGGGACGGGGTGAGCCCGGGCTCATCGCCAGCTCCTTGACAAATTGGCACAACAGCTCGTTTGTAGTGCGGAACATGGGAGCGTCACCGTAAAATTCAGTCAACAGCTGCCGGTTCTTGGGGCTGCCAAACAGTCGCTGTAAAGGGTCAATGCGGCCAGAGATTAGACCAGCTAGATCTGTGCCCGTCAGATGAAGGAGCTCATGCTCGAAACGGTGCTGCGGATGCTTCTCCATTATCTCTTCAAACAGTGAAGACGATGAGGGCATGATGACATTCTTGTCGGAGCGAATGTACTCGGTGCGGCCAACCGCATCGATGACCCCGGCATGCTGTAAGATCTCATACAGAGCAGGCTTGAGCTTAACGTGTCCCGAGCTCACCTGGATGGAGGGCACGCCACGTCCAGGTTCCATCGTACGCAGATCACAGCCGAGCTGGGCAAAGGCATCAAGGACGTAGGCAACGGTTAGTTGAAACTGCAAGGGGTGCACGTTATCCCAATACCCAAGCCAACCATTCTGCCTCGCTAGCCCCGGAAAGCGGCTCTGTATATGATTGAAAGTGATCTGTGGTTTCCAAGCCCCATGCCGAGGACTCGCTTGTGACCTGTCCTCGGGGATAATAACCCGTCTGGTTGACAGCGACTGCCCAGGACCTAGTTGAATCTGGTCACCTCCTAGGCGGTCACACAAGTCGGAAAACGTGGTGGCACGTTGGATTTGTACTTTGGCGTTGGAGCAGCAGAACTCTTTCTCGATGTCTCCCATGAACTCCTGAAAGAGCAACGAGTCAACACCCAAATCGGTCAGCGTGGCTGCCGGCTCAGTGAGCTCAAGCGGGCCCAGATGCGCCTCTAATAGTCGCTGCAATCGATCGGCTACGGAAGCTCGCGCCTCGGAGTGTGTTTCAGAACAAGAGGGGGTTTCCTCGCTGTGGGGAAAGCTCTCTGAGCGCGAAAGTAATGGTGTGCGAGACAGCGGCGACGGCGGAGCAACCTGGGCTCGCACACAGCGGTATAGAGTCTCCAGGGATGTCTGCACGCCAATGTTGCTGGCAGCAATGTCCACATTGTATAGTTCCTTGATCTTCTGTCGCAGTTCGTTGATCCCCAACGAGTCTACACCAATACTCTGGAGGGTAGTGGTGGCTGATAGCCCATTGAGGGGGTCGTTGACCAGATTGCCCAGGATTCTTTTGACCCGTGCCCCAACATCGACGGTCAGATCGGGTGGAGATGCTTCGTCCGGCACACCGGGCCCTCCGACTCGTTCCTCGCGCTCGGCCTTTGGTGACCTCGTCATGGTGGGGCTGGGGGCTGCTGCCAACATCGAGGCAAGGGCTTTCTCAAGCGATCCAGCTGGGGAGTGACGGAACTCAACCCCATAGACAGTTAGGGCCAGCTGACCGGTCTCAAGGATGAAGGCCAGGATGTCGTACTCTATCGACGTGGCATCCTGCCTGATTGTCCACGCCACCACCTGCCAGCCTGCATGGCAGGACTCCCAGGAGAGTTGAAGACTGGGTTGGATGCACCTCGCCCGTGCGCAGAGGTAGATTCCCATTTCTCGAGTCTGACTGGGACTGCGGAAGAGGTTGGTATGTGCCCCAGCTACTTGTAACAACCCCTCCAACATCACGGGCGGGATCAGCTCCGAGTCAGGGAGAAGGGAAGAATCTCGAGACAATTGAAGGTGAGCTCTGGCATACTGAGGGGCCCAATGCCAGCGCCGGATGAGCTTATAGACATTTCCATAGGTCACCACTGGTGCCAATAAACGGTAGAGCACATCCCCACCTATATCACAGGTCTGGTCACTAGGCTGATTGTGTGCCATGATGGACTGACAGGCGGAATCTAAAGTGATCAAGTCGGAGGTCCGCTGCACGAGATCTTTGTCGTTTTCGGCAAAGCGAATGCGCCCTGTTGCACTGCGTATGTCCGGCTCCACGTAGAAGGTAAAATCCCACAAGGGCGGAGTCCTCCCATTTTGTCGTTGCATGGCCAGCTTGAGCTTCTTGCCATTGTTTCGGCCAAGCGGCCTGGAAATTTGGAGACCCTCCACGACCCCAATTTGTGCCGACAATCCGTTTTGCGCGGGTGAAATGAGCCGCGCTGCGCGCATCACAGTCTCGACATAGAGCGAGGCGGGACAAACGCCCGTACCGAAGACGGCATGTTGATCAACCAGTAAAGCCCATTCAGGGGCTCGGGGGTCAATTCTCAGGCTCCACTCTTCCCCCGTCTTGTGATCTTGATAGCGTTCCACGCTCACCAGTTGGACTTTCTCTTCTGTCGGAGATCCAGGCTTCGATGCCGTGGTTGACTCCTTCCACCCAAGCCAGTGTCGGTATTTCGTGAACGAGTACATTGGCGGAGTCAGGAGCCTGTATCCGCGACTCGCAGAACCTTGGAAAGACCAGAAACCCACATTCTGCCCGTCCTCCCAGAGGCCTCTGGTTATGTCACCCAGAGATTGCGGATCTGAGGCGCGTCCTGGGAGGAAAGTGTGATGCTTGCGCATCTCCTCCGGGACGGCGGCAGATGCCATCTGGACCGCCATAGAGCCCAAGTCGGCTTCCAGCCATGCACAGGGACCAAGCTCATTGACTATCCTCTCAACTGCAGCTTGAAAGTGGACCGGCTCTCGTGTTTGCTGGCAAACAAGGCCTGGCGTGGGTAGATCCCAACGCTGACTGTCCGAACAGGGCTCGAGATGGACTCGTGGCGGGAGGAAAGTCAGCTCAGAGGCGAGAGTGTGAAGATCCTCCAGAACGGGCTCTGTTAACCGGCTATGATAACCATGCGTGACGTTCAGACGCTTGTGCCGAATCTGCTGCCGCTGCATGTCGTCTACCGCGTTCTGAATTGATGCCTCGGGCCCGGCGACAATGTAGCTGTTGGGCCCATTGTAACAGGCAATTTCCAGATCGTTGTACCGTAGCAGAGCCGCATGCACCTGAGGGTACGCTGCTTGTACTGCAAGCATCGCCCCTTTATCGTCCGACCATTTATTCTCGATCAATCGTGCTCGCCCAATGATCAGCTTCAGTCCGTCCTGCAGTGACAATGCACCCGAGGCGCACAACGCAACTAGTTGGCCGATTGAGTGCCCCAGCATTCGCGCAACCCGAAGGCCACTATCGATCCATGCTCGCGCACATGCATATTGGATGGCAAACTTCCTGGCGTGGAGGGTAGCCAGCTCGTGGCATGAAATGTCCTCGAAGATCGCCGGATACAGTGACATCCCACCTACAGCACTGGTGGCACGAGCACATTCATCAAGATGATACCGGAACTGACTGCAGGTCTCGTAAAGGATGCGGTCCACGGACGCGGTGATGCCTGTCTGCCCAGAGAACAGGAGGACCACGGGTTTGGTACTCTTAGGCCGACCGAGTGACTCTAACGCGACCGGATTCCCCACAGTCTGAAGTTTCTGTATCAACTCAGGCAGGGTTTGGACCGTCGCTGACCACCGATACCGGAGTTGAAGGTTCATCTTGCCTGCCAGGCTGAATGCAACATCTTGAATACTTCCTCCAGCCGTCGCTCCCGAACTCTGAAGCCATTGCTTGACTGCCTTGCAATTTCGTTCTAGAGCGTCTGCACTGTGAGCGGTAATACATACCGGATACGTCGCCACCCTTGTGTCCGGGTTACCGGCCTCATGAGTGGGAGGCTGTTTGACAATCATCGCTGTGATATTCCCTGCCGCACCAAAATTGTTCAAACAGGCCACCATGGGCTGTGCCTGCCACGGTTGCATCTGGCGTGGAATCATGATGTGATCCCGCGACTGGTCGATTTCCGAATGGAGCTGTTTCAGATTGGCCTGAGGTGGGATTTGGCGATGCTGCATCATAAGGACCACTTTGATCAGGCCTACCACTCCGGACGCCCCCTCCGTGTGTCCGATGTTGGCCTTGACAGAGGTGAGGCACATGGGGGCCGCCTCACGACTGGGCCCAGCGAACACCTCAACAATTGCCTGATATTCGGGGATGTCACCGACCCGGGTCCCGGCTGCGTGGGCCTCCACATAGCTGACCTCGTGCGGTTTCATCGCTGCCACTGTGAGCAGACGCCCATATAAGGCCCGGTGGGCTGCCGGATCTGGGGTGGTAATGGGGACCTCGTTGCTGATCTGTCGGACAGACGATGCACAGATGACCCCAAGGATGGGATCACCGACCTGCTGAGCGAAGTCCAAGCGTTTCAAGAAGACGAGGCCGACTCCTTCCCCACGCGAGTACCCATCCGCTTCGGCATCAAAGGGAGCCGCCCTACCGGTTGGGCTGAGAAAGGATGACCCCGCTAGATTCTGATAGAGGTACGGGCTTGTCATCACCTCGACCCCCCCAGCAAGGGCAGCCGTGCAGTTGCCCAAAAGAAGGTCCTTGCAGGCGGCATCAATGGCGACCCCGGAGGAGGAGCACGCGGTATCGAGGGTCATGGAGGGCCCGGTCCAGTTGAAGAAATGACTGATGCGACCGCTGCGAAAGGCCCGGAGACTGCCAAGCGCAGCGAAGGCACTCGGCGGATGAGCCGCCAGATTGTCGTTGTAGTCCGATCCAAAGCCCCCGATATAACAACCCACGTTGGTCTCGGGCTGGGTGCCGGGCCGGAAGTAGTGGGAGCTCTCCAGGGCATGGTAGGTGGCTTCTAAGAGGAGGCGCTGCGCCGGGTCCATAGTGGCCGCCTCTCGACTCGATCGGCCGAAGAATCGGTGGTCAAAGGTGTCGACCTCGTCGAGGAAATTGCCATGGACCGTAGACAAGCGGTCTTCACTCCGCCAGTGGGCTTTGAGTGGGAACCGGGTGTTGGGAGGCTCGCTAGCCATGCACTGTCCTGCCGCCAGGAGGGTCCAGAACTCCTCCGGGCTGCGGGCCCCCGGCAGCCGGCAGCTCATCCCCACCACGGCAATTGCATGGTCAGGGTACCCTTGGTTGGGTGGGGCTATTGACTGTGACATTTCGATTTTTTCAATGGTGAGGAAGTGTGCGATAGTTGATCGAGGATGCCGTTCTGAAAGGACTCACTCCATACTGCAGTTTTTGTCTTCTTATCCTCGCAACCCAACAGCGGAAGAGAACCGGGACTGTGGGTTGACGTCAGAAGTGATCTGGTAATTGCACCGGAGGTCGAGTTGAGGTATATCGTTAGTTCGGACTAAAAGCAGGTTTTGATCTGTACCTTGACGTCCTGCTCCTCGTAACAGACACACCACCCGCATCAAGTATTGCTAAGGGCGAACAGAGTATACTTAGCCCGATACCCACAACTAGTGGTTAGTCTGGCGGGAGAGAACGGATCGAGTCTTGGACGAATTCCCACGCTGCAGAAGAAAGGGAGCGCCCGTGGTTGGGTTACAATCAGATCTCCGTGGACGGGCTCTTGAGCATTCCGGCACTTCAAATGACCCCGCGGAGGGGGTTGAATGCGCCCGAGCCCTGCACTAAGCCAAACCCAGTCGTGCATGCCTACATGATGCATCCAGGATGCATCCATCTTCCGGACTCTTACGTTCTGTGCGTTTCTTCAAGTCTGTTCAGTTCCTTCAACTTGTTTCACCATTCGTGGATCCGCTCCCGTTCTCTGCGCCAGCCCCTCTTCCCATCGGTGGGCACATGCACGCAGCTTAGTTGCAGGGTTCATGTTCATCCCTACCTGAAGAATCTCAAATGATGTAGCGTACCGTAAATGAACAAGCCTGTTGCCCACTGCTACGCGCTGATCTGCAGAAAATCCAAGGTTTCTTCGTAGTTCCCTGTTTTCTTTCCTCCCACGATATGGTCCGGCGGAACGGACGCATAGCGCGATGCGAGGTGCTGCACATCCGCAGCGGATACAGGAACGCTGACATTCCTAAGATATCGCATCCTGTGGTAATTCAGCCCCGAAGATTTCGTTTGCAATGATGCCACGATATTCTCGTAGGTTTTGGTTGGACACGCTCGCCCATCTACCACCTACCCTGAAACATTCAGAGACCATCAGAGCCAATCACAAGAGCTGTGACAGCACGGCCACGACCCCTCATCCTCAGCTCGCAGTCTCCAAATTCCTCTCGTGTCTTTCCCAACTCCACTATCCATCTATTTATGTGGCCCTTTTATCAAAGGATACGCTACAAGGGCTGGAGGCTTGAAGTCATTCAAAATTGTGTTGATTAATTGGTTGAGGGAACTGGCTATCAGCTATGTAATATTTTTAATTTTTCGGCTGTTATATAACCCAGCGATCCAGACTATCAATATTAATACACCTCCTCGAAGAGCTCTGTAATACCGATATCCTTTTCTAAATAAATAATTTATAAAATTTCTTAATATTAAGAACTCGGCAGGTATATAAAAAAAGAATTTTTAGATTAATATCTATATAGCCAGCTAATACCTCTGTAAACTATTTTAGTTCTAATATTTTATACAGATATTCTTAGCTTCTTTACTAATATATTAAATTTAATATTTTTTATAAACTTTATAAACAAGTTAGTAAGATTCTCCGAAGACTTAATATATTTTAGTTATATATTACTATATTAAATAGCTTTATAAATTTAGTAGAATATAATATTAATATACTTAGTTCTCCGGTAGAATTAGTTATTCTGAACTATTATAATTATATCTTTATTATTAATATAAATAGTTATTAGATATATATCTTAAAAACTGATATCTTTAAATATATAAATAATCTAGTAAGCTTTTTTATCTGTAGTATAAAAAGCTATATATTTAGTTTTATATATTAATATAGTAATATAAGTCTGCAGGTATAACAACCAGAAGATTAAACTATTTATTAATATAAATATATATCTGGTAGTTAAACAGTATATATTAAAACAGTCGGTATAATTAATATTAATATAGCTAATTATAATTCTAAGTTTATTAATTAGACTGCTTTCTTAATATACTATATATAAAATTTTATAATTCTTAGTTCGGTGTAAATAGCAGAATAAAAATAAAAAACTATTTATATATTACTTTATTAGATTATTTATATAATAAAATAATTTTTTAATTATAAATACAGTATTAAGATAAATCTGTGTTATTAAATATATAATATTTTTAATATTAATTTAATAGTTCTTAATCTTTTTTTTAAATATTTATTTCTAGTTTTTAACAAGTTTAATATTTTTATTTAGAAGTATTTTATATATTTTCTTACTTACCGGGTCAGCTGTTTTAATAATATATTAAAAAAAGACTTTTTATATTAAATAAATAATACTAATAAAATATTTAACTTTAACTTTAAGATATTAGAAAGTATTATTAAAATCTATAATAATAAAATATTTTAATAAGTCTTAGTATATAGAATTAATAAGATCTTCAGTAAAAGTAGTAACTTAAATATTATTAATATATAAAATTATAATTTCTCTATATTTTTTTATAAATAAATACTTATTAGTTTAAGATATTATTATTCTGATATTTATAATAGTAGTAAGAAATTTATAATATTAATTTCTTACAGATTATTTTAAGCTGTATATAAATAAAAGTAGAAAACAGATCTTATTAATATTATTATTAAAACTAGTTGGTTAAGTTATATAAATCTTTTTATTATTATAAAATTTATTATATAAAAATATTTATTTAATATTATCTTACTTATAGATATATCTAAATATTATTATAATAATAAAAAATATTCTTACTATTGCTGTTTTTGCTATTAGAATATATATAAGATTATAATTAATACTATACTATTATAAAAAGCTACGGATAATATAGCAAGCTTTAAATTTATATATTTTATTATTAGTATTAAGTTTAATTTTAAATATCTAATATTCTGATATTGTCTTGTATTTTATTGATAATTTAATAAGATATTATATACTCTATTTAATAAATAATTTTATTTCTGTTTTTATAGCTTTCTATTATTTATTAATTTTAAAAAATAATATAACTTAATCAAATATTGCTGATTTAATAATTTCTTTATAATTTTTAGTCTGAAAAGCAGCAGAAGTATATATTAATTATAATAAATATAAAATCTAAGATTTCTACTATTCCGAGAAGTTTTTTATAAATAAATTAATTAAATTTTTAAAACTATCTATATATATTAGTAGTATTAGTATTAATACTAAGATATTAGTAACTAATTATAATATTACCAGCTGATATATATACTATTTAATTAATTTATTTATATTAGATTTATTGTCTATATCGACTTTATATAGATTATAAATTAATAAAATAACTAGTACTAGTATATAAAAGTAATTATAATTATTATCTAGTAAGCTATAAATTTCTAAATCCGAGTCTTTATTAAATTTAATATCTCTAATATTAAGAATTTTATTTTTTTTAATATTTAAAATATAATATAATTTGCCGAGACTGGTATAGCCGAGTAAATAAACTAGAATAATATAAAATAAAATTTTTAAAATATATTTTCTATTTTTTATTTCTGGTATAATTATCATAGTTTTATAATATCTAAGAATATGTAAACTTGATATATTTAATCTTACTTTATAATATATTTTCTAAGTAGTAATAGTCTTATTTTTAATTAATAAAAAGTTTTTTAGAAATATTATATTTTTTATAACTTTATTCTAAAGCTTTTAGTCTAGATCTTAATCTTTTAAAACAGTATATATATATATAAAAATAGTTAAAGATATATATTCTATAGGAATATTTTAACTATAAATATATAGTATAGTAAATTTTTATTATATCTTCTTATTCTATATTCAAGTAAGCAAGTTCTTAGCCTGGAATTTAAGTATATTATTAAAGTAGATTATCTATATTTTAAATAATATTCTATCTATAGTTTTAATAAATAATTTTAAATATTATACTATATCTATATATTACTTAAGCAAATATATATTAATCCAGCTGTTATATTAATTAATAAAAAATATCTAGTAACAGGTTTTATTAGATTTTATTATAAGCAGATTAATATATCTACCTCCGGTATTAAAAAAGATATATTAATAATATTATATTACTAGTATTAAATATTATATTTTTTATTTAGTAACTGTTTGTATAAAATAATAAATAAAATAAGTATACTTTAGTATAATAAGACTTTTTATATCTATATTATTTATTATTTTTGATATATAGATATAGTTCTGGACTAATAAGTATATTATATACTGGTACTAAGTATAAAGATTAATATAGTTTTTATCTATAAATAAAGTATATTTTTTATAAGTATTTCTAAAAATATATAAATAGTAAGTCAACAGAGATAGACAGCTACTACTACTTAATCAAATAGTTATTTTATTATTTAATTAATAGACGATATTAACAGAAGATAAGTTTTTTATAGAATATATAGTAAGTATAAGGGCTGGAGGTGAAATAGCGTGAAGAACGAATGACTCTCGCGAGTCCAAAGATGCCAATGTATTGCCTTAAGGTGTTGTTGCTAATCTTTCTAAGTCGCGAGGTGCCGCTTCCAATTAAGAGGTTGCAATCGGCTCGCTTTGTCATCATGTGACCGATGCCTGAGGCCATATATATATAGCTTTCCCTTCGCGGTATCCGCGAAGGTTGGAAGGGCTGGTCCAGCCCTTACATATAGTAAGACTATATTAGAACTTATTTAATATTTCTGATATTTTTATAATATATTTATTAATATCTTAATAGTTATCGTACCGGAGAGATATAATAGTCTAAAGATTTTTAAAAAATTAAATATTTAAAATAATATTATAATACTTTTTAAGTTTATTCTAAATAGTATTGGCTGATTCTAGATTGATTACTTTATAACAGATTTCCGGTAATAATATAATATATATAATACCATAGGCCTTTTTGTTATTTTAATATTATTCTAACTACTTGACTTAATATTTCTTAAGTTTTTTTAATATATATCTGTTTAGTAACTTGGACAGCTGTACTTTTAGTAATATTATTAAAAAAT